GTTTGTGGGCGAGGTGCTCATTGCCCATCCAAACTTCCCTGAGAAGCATCCCAATCACTTTAGGCAACGGGTGTTGTGCCTTGTGGTCGCTTGCATTGGTCGTGGCACGCAAGATCTCCAAAACACAGATCTATTATGGTGTTACTGCTTTAGATGGTATTTATATATGTTTACACTTTACACTATATTCATTATTCATCCTTATTGACGACGATGGCCCAGACGTGGCCCACTATGATGATGCACAGACACAACCCTAAGGAGTCTAATTGGTGAAACCTACCGAGCCATGTCTTGAGATTGGCACATTGGACAGACCATGTTGTTTTTGCTATCCAAGCATGTGCACACTGCTTTCTATAGTGACAGGTATGGAAGAGCACCGCTTGTTGACATTCCCAACTTCAACTTGTCACCGACTGAGCTGCTCTTGATTGCACCTTTCTGAGGCTGAAACAACTACACTAGCTCCTAGAAGTGCATGGATCACACAAGCTGCTGCTGGACATTGATGACTCAAATGATCATGAAGCAGCGGTTTCTCACAGGGCTTTCCCTTTTCGTACGGTTCCTAAGGGCGTGCAAACCTCTTTCTGATTCAAAGCAATGGAACATGCAGCCAAACCTCCATGGTGCCCAGTTCTGCTGTAAGGTTGGAGCTGATTCCTGACGCCTTGGCGTTCTTTCGAGAGGATGGGGAGCCCTTGGCGTTCGTTCCGACGGTACATGCGCAGTGCCTAAGGCTTACCATTTGGGGTGGAAAAACCAGGGAAGACTGGCAGAGAGGGACCATCTGGCGAGGCTCTGTTCATTTGGATTGTCCTTTGTCCATGTTTGCCACATTGGTGAAGGCTGGGCTCGCAGATCTGGGATCTCAGCAGGCGCACATTTTCCGCTCTCGCCCTCTGTTTCGCCATGGCTTCTCTTCGCGTGCTTGGCAGGAGAGCATGGCTTGGGAACATGGGTGTGTGCTTTGACTTGGGTCACCCGCAGCTTCGCTGACTTTGGCAGTTGCCCGCGCAGAAAGGGGCCGAATCTGTTGATTAGATGCTTGTCATCTTCCCAATATGTCCCAATCCAGGCTCATAGAGTACAGTTCTCCACAAGCGCCTCGCAACAGAAGGTGCTGCCTGCCTGCAACCAGCCATTCAAATCCAACCTGAAGTGGTTGCCGAGACACCCTTAGACTGCACTCGTTTCGACCAGATCACACATCCCTATCAAACCAGGGCTTTTTCCCCGCACCTCTGGCCCTTCAGAACATAGGCCACATAGGCCCTTCTACCAGCGCTTCCTTCTTGGGGCGATTTCGGACGTCGCGGTAGCAGGACCTTCCACCGGGCCGCGGGCAGCTTTGCTCGCCCCGCGGCTGCAGCGTTCAGCAGCTCCGCGCAGTTCAAGGCGCCGCGGGACGGGACTCAATGCGGAGCTGCCACGGGACTCGATACACGGAGAAGTCAGTGGGGTGTCAGCCGCCATGGGCTGCGACGTGGGACAATCCATGCTGGAAGTTTCGCGCACTCTTGGCCTGGGGGACATTTTGCCCCAGTTTTGGGACATCAATCCCATCGTGAAACTTGGTGGTGGACTTTTCTTTAACCGAAAAGCTCACCTTTGAGGTCTGCATCAATGGAGGTGCTGGAGGGATTGGCCAGCCTCTCACCATGCTGATGGCGATGAATGAGACGGTGAAGGAGGCCGTGCTCCGTGGTCGTCGTCGTTCTGGGTCGGACGTTTGGAAGGGCGAGACTGGTTTCGATGAGAAGCCTCACATTCTGTGTCACAGGTCTCCCTGTAGTTGGTCAATCATACTGGAGGTCATCAGGAAAAGCAATGGATTCACGGATGAGACCACAGGTTTGTTTAGACAGTTTCCATACACTCAAATTGAGTTCTGTTAGTGACATGATCCTTGATTAAACTATGCAATCGGCCTCAGAATCGGCCTCTGCCATCGGGTCTGCGATCGGCTCACTTTGTTCACCTGAACGTGTCCAGGTCTCTGTGCAGGACGTCACCATGGCTGCAGTCGCCTCCTCGGTGTCAACACGGCCGGAGAGCACCGCGCCGCGCCGCGCCCAAGCGTCTCTGAGGTGCCTCCCTCTGGAGTCGCGGCCGATCTGGGACACCTGGAGTTTCCGAGCAAGGCTCCCAACCGAGTTTTGGGGCGTCCTCCTTGTTTGGTAAACTGATGATGGTAGACCGGAAGAGGTGATGAATGATGGCCGAAGGATCTCATATGCCAGTTCCTGCTGTGCGCTGTAGCATTTTTCTGGGTGGATTCCACGCTGTAGCCGTCCAAGCTGCTTGACACGTTAACCTGCATGAGTCCACAAGCATCAGAGCACAGCTGACATACTTACATGACAGGCACCGTGATCCTCTAAAAAGTCGCTTCTACAGGATTTGACATATAGAAGCAACATGAAGTAGCATGGTCCAGGGCTAGCAAAGTACACAAAAGACACCAACACAACCACAACGATACCTTCGTTGTCTCTAGCCGAGCCCTGCACCTCCGCCAACTCTAGCGACTCCATGCAGCCGAGCCCGCTGCGGCGTCTTCAGCGGAGCCGCTGCGTGGGGCGCACGGCGCGGGAGATCCTACAGACCGAGAAGCTCGAGCGAGTCCTGCTGCCCTTGGCGCGGGACCGCGTCTACGGCGGCCAAGGGCTTCGGCGGCCGCCGCGGGAGAACACGCTGGCCGGGACGGACAGGGAGAAAAGGGAGGAGTCAATGACAGTCTGACAGCACGGTGCGGTGCCTTTTTGCTTTTTCCCTTTCAGACTTATGTAGAAGGTATTCACAGTGCTTTGGAGCTGGAAGAAGCCAGCAAGCTCAAAGCGGCAGTGGTAGAGAAGTGCTGCACTTGTTCAATTGGGACCACCTAAAATGAACTTCATGCAAAGTTAGTTCTTTCAGAAGCTGGGTTCTTTGAAAAAATGTTGAATCCCAAAACCCTTGTTGGCTGCCACACACCTCTTTTGCTTTTGTCCAGCGCTTCCCAAGTCAAATCCAGCTCAGACTTCCACTTCTATGAATCCATTCTTCTCGGCCGCCGTTTTGGACCAAAAAACATCCCCACTTGGAGATGTGTATTTGGAGTACTGACCTTTGGTTTTCCCCGATCTCTCAAACCATTCTACTGTCCAATCTTTATGACGTTCTGTCCTGACTAGATTATTCTTCACGGCTCGTTCTTTCGCAACTACAGTCTTTGCAGCTGCTGGCTTACGCATATGCGGCTTGGCTGGAGCTTTGCTCGCAGGCTTTGTTTTCTCCTTAAACTCCTCCTCACCATTTGCTGGCTCCCCATAAGGTTGGGTGTCCTCGTCCTCGTAAGGTTGCTCGCTTTTTGGCTTTCCAGCCAACCCCTCCACAGGAAGGTTGGGCGCCCTCCTGCTCCTACTGTTGAAGCGACCTCTTCCGGCTGGCTTCTTGAAAGGCACACTATCACTACCGCTGCCAGTGTTGGCCTTCTTGGTTGGAGAAACTCCTGCCCCTTCGCGTTTGCGCTTCTCACCACCTGCAGCAAAGAGGAAACTCCCCGAAGTGCTGCGCGCAAAAAGAACAGCAAAACCAAGTTGAGCGACAATAGTTGAACAAATACACTCTACATAATTGTTACTTGTTCAATACAGTTCATAGTTCCGTGTCGTCATCATCATCATCATCATCACTGCGGTCATCCTCACTGCGATCGTCGTCATCAACATCACAACCATCACAACCATCACTCATCATCACCACTACCACGATGATCACAACCAATTAGGCATCATCATGAGATATCATGAGCATGAAATATGCAAAGACAAGAATATCAGGAGAAGGTAAGCAAGTATGGAGCTGAGGAGGACCACGGTCAGACCTCAAGATCAGTCGCATTTCCCCTTGGTTCGCGGAATACCCCCACATCCCTTTTCCTAGAACTGTTTATCTTGCAAACAAAAGTATAAATTATAATGGGACTACTGAGACTCAATGTCCACCAGACTTCCAACCTGAACCACGTCCATCAATGCTGCTGCCACGCCCAGCGCGACCACCACGACCACGGCCTCTGGCCCTGCCCCGGCCACGAGCACGTGGAGTCTCAGTCTCGGGAAAGGGCTCAGGTGATTGAAGGAGTTGTGGATGGGAGGATGAGCTGGCTGATGACATCCGCCTGGGAGTACTCGTTGATGATGCCCGTCTTTTGGCTGAAGGATCTATCAAGCTATTGAGGATAATGGACTGAACATCTACCGGAGGAGGATTCCACATTGAATGGAAACCAAACTAAGCTTTCCACCTGGACTTGCACCTAAATGCAACGGAGTTTGTTGTGAACAACCAAACTTTGCTGCTGCAAAACTTGAAGCAGCTGGCGACTGGTGATACCTTATACCGTTAAAGCCTTCTTCTACTATCACAACTGACAACTCACTACCGCTATTGTAAGCTCAGGAAAAGAACCCAACCCAACGCAGGATGCAGAAATCCATCTAGCTACAGCTCTTCCAAGAATATTCGCAAGGGGAAAGTCAACTATTTTGCAACATCGCGGCTTGAGCTGCATGCAAGCCTTCTTCACAACGTGGCCTCTTCTGATTGTCAAACAAGCAACATGTCAGCTTCTACAATGGAGAAAAGCCAAGACCACGTTTGATCCCCAGGTCACTAAGGCCCTGGCAGCAGCAAGCTGCTCTTATCGGCAATGGCCCAGTGATGCAAGACTTTGCACCCGGCTGCCCTTTTTCTGCAGAAGTTTGCTCATTGTAACCAAAAGGGTGACCGAGTGTAGAAGGAACATCCGGGTGCGGGCTGGCCAGGTGCAACCAAACAAGGTTTGTCAGGCAGCCGGGAGCATGGCAAAATAGTCAGCAAGCATTGGGTAAGAAGCGAAACAAACCATTGTCAAAGTGGAACACTCCAGGTCAAAATCAATTTCATCATTCAATCATCAACTTACCTGGCATTATTCTAAGCACTATTGTCATCCTTGTGCAGTGCTAGTTTCACAGGCTTGCTACTTTCATTGGCTTGCCATGCTCCAAACACAGGGCAACCAAAGTAACAACATATGGTCGCTGGACTTTGAATGTGCCGCCGATGCGCTCATACCTAAAGCGAAAGCACTTGCCTATGGTAGTGCCAGTGCTGGTTGATTTCAAACATTGAGCAAAGACATTTTTACATGTTGTCTTGGGCCCCTCGGAAGAAGCTCTTGGGTCAGACAGGCACTTGAATTTCATTGGTGTCTTGACTGAGATGTCAAACCCGTCTGTCCCTGCTTCAACTTGATCCTTACGTTGTACTTTGAGCCATGTCACTGTATGAGTGGTCATGTTGTGCTCCCGCTCTGCAAGCAGAAGCATCTTGTACATCGTCATGGTGGAAACTCCACTGCCTTCAGCCCGAAAGGAACTCATATCCAACTGCACGGTTGTGGAATCTGAAGTCACGTTGAAGTCGACTCCTTCACCTGCATCGCTGGAAGCCACATATTGCCCGGTTCCATAGCCGCCCAGCAGACTGTACTTGGGCACATGCTTCTTCTCTTTGGTGCTCAATAGCCAAATCGAGGCATCTTTTGCAACAAGGATGTTGATGCCAGCAACTTCACTGACCACCTCTGCTTGTACACCATACTGGCTTTTGAGAGCATCCAAACTATCCAAGACTTCGCAGGTCGCTCCACTGTTTGTGGATGGCTCTGCAGTCTCTGCAGCCGCTTCCTCCCTCTCTTGTCTGGCTGATGGTCCGAGCCCAAGACGTTGCACACTCAGAATCTCTTCATGCTCGGCCCGGAGAGACTCGTAGCTCTCTGCAAATTTGCCTCCTTGGCTGGTCCAGTAGCGGTGTTCGTCACTTTTGATCTGAAAGCGGTCGCCCACTCGCTCAAGAACCGTGAACTCAACAGCATCCAAGCCTGAGAGCCTGGTGCGTGCACCTGGGATGGCATTGATCTCACAATCCGTCAGCTCTGGAACCTCGTTGGTATATTTCTGGCCAGCATGACTGAACTTTTGCTGGATCCAGGCATCGGCCACCTCTCGAAGGAGGCGGGCTCCCCCAAAGGTGTCTTGGGAGAGCCAGGTCACCGACAGGTAGAACAGGTTCTTTGTCTCAAATCCTCCCTTCAGCCGCTCATCGGCAAGGCGCAAAGCAAAAGCCTTGGATAAACAGAAATGGCAGCCCTTTGTCAGTCACCAAATATGACGTTTTAGAATCGATCACTTAGTCAATCAACAAAAATCTGCCTACAGGCTTACAGGCGGTGTTCTGTTTTCCCAACCGATCCCAACCCAAATAACCAGAACAACAACACAAAGCAGAAAAGGAGGCACTGTGACTGCTTTGAGTCCCACTACCCTCCAATACCCAACTTCTCTGCTGCATTTGCTGCAACAACATAGAGGAAATATGGCGGCGGGTTGTTGGGCTGACCATTTCGTTTCCTCATGCCCTCACCCCCTGGCAAAGTATTCCGGCATTGTTTAGGTGCTACAAATTGGTAAAAATCAATTAGTGAAGCTTCCAAAGCCTCAATCTGGGCAAGTGAATTACTGGCATGAATACAGCGCATCTCAGAAAAGTTTGCCTCAAAGTAGAAAACAGCACGCCGCTCCAGACATTGAGAGATGCCAATCTTGAATACTGCCAGTTGGTCGCCTCCGTGTTTCTGACGAATCTTTTGAACTTGGTCCTGGCGATTACAAGGGGAAACACAGTTTATGACCCAGTGGCATGCAAAAGGGGCTTTCCGCCTTGCATGCGCATGTCGTGTGACTTTGAACCAGCACCCCTGTCCTTACAATGTCTCAAAATCTTCCCGGCAGTTGTAGACGGTGGACATGTTGAAATAGTAACACCCATCCGAAGGGGTCCTTCTCTCCACAGGCTATCTAGTGGTGCACGCGGGTTCATGTCATAAATAGCCAAATCAGTGTTGACCACCGAAATTCCATCCCTTCCTTCCTGTCGCTGTGGCTGTATCGCTGCCGTGTCAATCTCATCGTCGCTCCAAGGTAAAATGTCCACAGCTTTCTGAAAGAAAGACTCTGGGCCACACAGCATCACCGTCACCCGAAGCAAAAAGTACTGCAGGTACAGAACTGGCTACAGAGCTACCCCAAGCATAGCCCTACATAAGCCTACTTTGAGCCTGGGCGGACGTTCAAAACACCGCAAGCACCACCCCCTTTCAAGCAAATGTTGGCAAGGGTGCCCAATATGTTTTCCAAAGTATGCCAAGTAGCTGCAGTGCCCACATCCTCTACATAGCTTGTGAAATTCAGGATGATGACCGGGGTGTTGGTCATGTCATAGTTGCCAACCATCGTCAAAGCACTGCGGAGCAAAGTCATCCAGCGGTCTTTGCCCTTTTGGGCAGCCACGGTCTCAGGGCTTGGTCTTTGGCGCTCTGCAAATCGCAGATCTTCCTCTGCTGATAGCGACTCTGGCAAGAGCAGGTCCTTTGACAAAGGCATGAAGATCTTTTGATCTCCGAGTGGCCGGCCGCAGACTCCAAGCTCCGAGAAGTTGGTCCAAGCATTGGTCTCAGCTCCCTCTTTGTTGGTAACAAATCGCCCCTGGTTGAATCGCCTGGAGTCCAGTCTGAATTGAGAGGATCTCAAACTAAGTTGGGCAAACCCAACAAAAAAAGTATCATGGCCTCTAGCAAGGCTAAGAAAAACAAATTGTGGACTTGCGCAACAAGGCAAACTGATCAACAGGCAAAGTGACTTGCGCCCAGTCTGATGCTCTGCCGAAGGATGGACATCAAACGGACACATCCATCTGGAATCACAGACCTGACGAAGGGACCAGCACTCGTTCTGGACCTCCGTCTCTTCATCGCACAAGCCACGTTTGCTGGTCTTCTTTGCAATCTCTGGAAGCTCGATCAGAGCTGCATGCTTGCAAGGATTCAGATCGTTGGTGAACTGAATGGCAGAACAAAGTTCACTGAGGTGCTCCTTGGCCTTCGCCCATGGCACATTGAGATCGGCCACAGCAAGGATGTGCACAGTGGATTCTGAGACTTCATTTGCCCCAGCCTTTGTTGCTGTCTGTCATCAGCCAACAAAGGGCACTGTTTTCACTAGCTAGGAAGGAAGCCCTTGCAGATAGTACACAAATGGCATACCATCATCCAAAAGAGATGAACAAACAAGAGGCAGAGCAGCCAAGACTTATTTGGCATTGGACATTGATAATAGTTGTTTGAACGTTTGAAGTTTGAAGGACTTAGAATGAATGTCAAGTGGCTACGAAGGTCCTGTACTCGTTCACGAGCTGTTGCGCATGCTCCACCTTCTCCACAATCTCCGAGCGGAGGAACTTGTTCAGGTAAGACTTGATGATTTTTTCACCATTCTTGGCCTGTTCCATCTTCCAGGCCATGGCCTTTCTGTGTCGAACAGCTTCTAACTTGCTGGGTGCCGCATCAATCTGCAGCAGGGTGTTTTGATCCTTCTCCAAGGCACAGGTGAAGAATTTCCATCGTGCCTCTCTGACTTCAATCTTCTGCTGTTCAACTTCAAGCGTAGCGACTTCTTCTTGCTTCTTGAGTTCCTTCATTGCAGCTTCTCTGGCACTTGCCAGCATACTAACCGCAAAGACTTGAGGACGTTCATCAAGAAGCTCACGAATGTCTGAGTCCCTGTGGCTGTTGTTGCGGAGAGCAGCATCTAGCTGGTCAAATCCTGGAACGCGGGTAGAGCAAAAGACTTGAATCTGATCCCAAAGTGCCATGATGTTGCGAAGTGTAGTGAGGTCGTCTTCGGACATGCGGTATTTCTTCCGGTCGCTAACCTCATCCACAATGGCGGTCGCCCGATCAAACTGCAAACGAACCCGGCGAAACAGCATACCCTGAGCTGCCTCTGTGAGAGTCAAACTCCAATCAATCGTGATCGAAGCCTCTTCCAGGGCTGGCATGGCCTCTGATTCTGGTGATGCTGACAAATTCGCAGCACTGCCCACAAACAGCAGGCGCATCATCGACAATGGCTCGCCCCAAGGGCCGTGCTGAAAGGGAGCATCTTTCAATGCAATGGAGACCTCCTCCAAAGCCTCGGGGCCCGTGGCCTCATACCAGTGTTTGATTGCCCAGCTTTTCTTTCCGTCTATCATCAAGGAACCGCTGCCTGACTTGTCCTTCAGGGAGCACAAAGATTGAGAACTTGTGGATTGAATCTGAAAGACAATTCAATCTGTGACAATCAATTTAAACTAAATGTAGCTTTCAACTTCAAGAAAACCGGGCTTTGGACAAAAAGCTCCTTGACTGAAGCAGAACCGTGTGACACAACTTCAGGTGTATCGTTGTAGATCTTGATGCAATCCGCTGCCTTCAGGCTCTCATTGCCAGACTGTTTCTGGAAGGATCGCAAAATCATCGCCCACTCGTATGAACTGACCGCCATCTTCTTGGCATCAACGTTTTGCTTGATGATCCGCTGGATCATAGCCATTTGACGGTCTTCTGCTTGGTTCTTCCTGAGTGATGGCAAGTTCAGCATGGACTGAATCAGCTCCTTCACAGCTGGCTGAGAAAGCAGGTCTGGTGGTTCCCTTGAACACCTGTAGACCAGCCCAATCCAAACAACGGCTGCTGCAAGTCCCCGCATTCCGCCGTCGTCGAATTCAAACTGAGCTTCGTGGTAAGGGTTGTCAACATCCTCTTCCAAACTCTCCAAGCGCACGCCCAGAAATTCTCCCTGGCCGGTCCCGCTCTTACTTAAAGAAGCAACAGTTAATTATAATAAATAAGGTATATAATATATAAATATTTATAATTAGACTATGGTTCCTACACCAGAACACTTCTGACAAGAGCATGAATAGCGGCAATTTCGGGGAAGGGGTGGGGGCGGCGAGCAGTTCCTGGAAAGGAGGGTGGGTGCGGGGGGGGG